CGGGCCAAGGGATGGGGGCCCTGGGGGCGAGGGATTTCGCCTTTTGGTGCAAGCTATGGTATATTAAGATGACCACCTCATTATTTTACAGATATGCTAATTTTCTTGTGCCCATTGAATGATGATAGAAAACGTGCATGCTTCGTTCGATGTTCGAACGAGCACTAAGTTCCCTTCTACATGATGAATCCGCTGAGGTACGTATGTACATTCAGTCTTCTATTTATTCACTTCGTTGTTGCAATTTAGTTGCTATCGTTCTGCAGTGTTTACATATATTGAATTTTCGATTTAGATACTTAGCGTGCCATTTGATATTCCATTGTCTCAAATATAACTTCGAAAAACCATTTTGGAGTACCTGAAAAAATTATCAGATAATTGCTGTTAAGATTCTTAAATAAGACTGTAAGGTTTGTAGAAATCGAACCTTCATAATGAATTCCTAACAATAAAATATTCGTTTAGACATTTTTTTTCTTCTTCTAATCGTACAATAAATATGTTATCTTTTCATACAAAATACATATAACCATTAGTAATAGTACCTTTTGGTAATTGGTACTTCAAATGTCGTAAAAAACAAAAGTGATAATTGGTTAACTATGCTGACGTAGGATAAAAGATGTTTTACATGTTTTTCTTTTCTTTATCTATTTTTTTTTTTTATTTTGGAATATTTTATTTACATGCCGCACGTAGAATCTGCATGATCGAAAAATTGTTTCTTTATTTGTCAGAATCATAAACAATTTCACTTTTTTTTCATAGGTTGTAATTGAGTTGGATCTTCAGGTAAAGTTTATTTATGTGCTTGGTTAAATACTTTTTAGATCGGAATAATTACAGTTTTGGCCGCCCAAGTTTGCACGTTTTTCACTTTTGGTCCCCCATTTACCGCCGTCAACAAAATACACACTAATGTTGTCACATTTGATCACATTTAGTCCCTCCTTCTGTTTTAAGTAACGGTCAACTGTAGAATTAGATCTGAATTTAGGATTTTTCATAGATAAAAAATGCACTCAGACCCCTGCATTCTTTTAAAATATTCTAAAAACCCCTAAAATTTTATTCAACCCTAATTTAACCTCAATTTCATCATTTAATCAATTTTGACAAACGACCCCAATTTTTAACACCATTACGCTGACCGTTGACCGCCGTTGATTTTTTTTACTTTTTCTTCGGCATTGACTTTTTTTATTTAATATTGATTTTGATGTTGTTCACCAACACTGTATTCTCAGTTAACAATGTTGACTTTTTTTATTTTTCTTCATTTTTTATGAACTTTTTCCTGTGACGTTTTTTTCCGAACAACACAATCACTACAAGAAAATGTAAAATAGGCAACGATTTCTACATCGACGAAATTAATTTTGTTGCCAATGGTTATATTTTAGCAACGAAATATAGTATTTGTTGCTAAAGATTAACATTTTTGTAACAAGATATTTTTGTTGCCTTTGAATCTCATAGGCAACGAAATATATTGTTGTGAATAGTATTATATATATTTTTCAACGAATTTCATGTAAGACAACAACTTGTTTTGTTGCAAAAGAGTATTTCTTTTTGCTACGATATAAAATTGTAGTAAATACATTTACAACGGCAACAAATTTATGTTGTCACTAGTATGTGACGAAAGACTACAAAATCTTTTGTAAATGCTCCAAGAGATTTGACAACAAAATATAATCGTTGCCAATTTAAAAACCAACTTTTTTTCTTGATTTTAATTTACTGTATATGTTATTAAATCAATACATATATATACATATTATATATAATAAAATATTATAAAAAAAATCTTATTTGTTTATATTATAACTCATGCATATTTTTATATTTAATTAAATCAAGTGCTTATATGTTTTAAAAATTTATTATATACACATTTATTAATAAGAGAGAATTCATAATAGATGTTATATTCAGAATTGAATTCTATTGTAAATTTTACTTTTTTGAACATAAAAGACATATAATATTATTTATTTATATAATTTATTTGACATTAGTTATATAACTATTTTAATCATTTTACCTTATCTATTTAGTTTTTATAAATTTATTTGAAGTCTATTTACATAAATGTACTGTTGCCCTAGCGGTTGGAGGGCTCTTTAACTTTGAAATCAACCAGGGTTCAAATCCTTAATTTGTCATGCTTACATATAATGATATTTATCAAGCGGGTCCAGTTGGGCCAGCCCTGAGTTCGATCCAATAGTTCTGATTCCGAACAGGGTCGGGTGTGATGGATGTGGGTTGGGGCCCTGAGTTCGATCCAATAGTTCTGATTCCGATCAGGGTCGGATGTGATGGATGTGGGTTGGGTTGGGTCAATCGATGGGGGGGTCGGATGGATACGAAACCGGACCAGTGGTATATTGTGTTGTCTATTTACATATCTTTTGCAATGAAATAAATTCGTTGCGTATACTAAATACATTGGCGACGAAATAAATTTGTTGTCTATAATGAATGTATTGGCAACGAATTATAGTTTGCAACGGAACAAATTCATTTTGGATAATAAACGTATTAGCAACGATATATTTTGGGTGACGAAATAGATTCGTTGGCTATAATAATGTATGCACAACGATTTTTTTATTTTCGTTGCCATGAACTTTCTGCAACGCGGATTTGAAAACGAACATGGCAACAAACAAAATTCGTTGCGAATTATATTGGCAACGAAATTTTGCTCAGCAACAACAAAATATTTCGTTGTCAAATATAAAATTTCTTGTAGTGAATTACTGTATAACACAATAATAATATTATATTAATATCTAGTATCGTAATATTAAAATTACAAACTTCCAACAAAGTTTTTATCTAAAATTCAAGGGCCTAAATACAATTTAAAAAAAATTCTAAAATCCATAATTTTTTCCCCTCAATTTTTTCTTCGTGGAACCGTCATTACATCCCAAATTTCTTCCCAAAAAAATATGAAAAATATGAATTAGGCATGTACGGAGTAATTTGGAATGAGATAACCACTCTAGTACAACGGTTTTTGGGGCTAACACCGGCCGTTAATTTTCATCTTTTTTTTTTTGTCTTAAATTTCTTCCGTTATTGAGATGCGGTGAGTTTTTCCTTTTTTCTTTATTTTGACTTTTTTTTATGATATTATTTTCTTGCCGATTATCAGCTTTGAATTTTTTTAAATTATATTTTCCATTACTCAACAATTTAAATAAAAAAAAATCAAGAAAAAAAATGTCAGCGCTGTTAACCCGACATTCAAACATCGGTCAACAGCGGCAAAAAAAATCAATCGAAAAAAGAGTCAACCGAGTTAAAACAAAAGTCAACGTCGGATTATCCAATTTTGAAAAATCGGATTCATTGGTTAAAATTGGTTAATTGATGAAATTTGGATTAAATTATGGTTGGATAATTTTTTAGAGGTTTTTAGAGTATTTTGAAAGAATACAGGGGTCTTATTGCAAATTTCTCAAAGAAAAACCCCAAATTCAACCGTTGACCGATACTACTCAACGGTCAAACAAACGGAGGGACCAAATGTGTTATAATGTGACAACATTAATGTGTATTCTGTTGACGGCGGTAAATGAGGGACCAAAAGTGAAAAACGTGCAAACTTGAGGGACCAAAACTGTAATTATCTCTTTTAGATCTAAATAAATCTCCATTAAATCTTTATTTACGGATCATTGAATTTGTCAAATGGGACGAATACTGTTTTTATTATGACAATTTTGATCCCAGGTGGAGTCGTATGTCAGAGTGATGTTTGTCTCGAAGAATAAGGCGGATACATAGACGTATGAGTTATATTTTTGGATTTATCTTAAATATGTAAAAATAAAAAGGGCTTATTGTAATGACCCTTGTATAATGGGGGAGTTTTGTCAAATTTTTCTAATTAATTAATACAGTAATATTATTGTTTCAGACGGTTAAATTACTGTTGGAGACAGTAATTTAGAACACAAGACAGTAATATTAATTAAAATAATTTTTTTCAAGAAAAAACAAAATTTCAAAAAAGAAAAGTCAATTAACAGTTAAATTACAGTCTCCAACATTTAAATAACTGCTGGAGACAGTAATTTAGCAACGAAGACAGTAATATTAATTAAAATATTAAAAAGAAAAAGTCAATTAAGAGTTAAATTATTGTCTCCGACTATTAAATAACTGCTGAAGACAGTAATTTAGCAGCCAAGACAGTAATATTAATTAAAATATTTGTTTAAGAAGAAAAAAAGGTCAATTAAAAGTTGAAATACTGTCCCCGACAGTTAAATAACTGCTGGAGACAGTAATTTAGCAGCCAAGACAGTAATATTTATTTTAATATATGTTTTTAAGAAAACTCAAAAAAAAAAAAAGGTCAACGCCGGAGACCTGACGGTAAACGGTGCTTGACCTACCGAAAAAAATTTCGGAAAAAAAAAGTTTAAAAAAAAAAAAAGTCAATGCCAGAGACCGGCGGTCTCCGTTGGTGGCGGGTCAAAATTGGTTATTTGGTGAAATTGGACTAAATTAGGGTGTAAATCATGAAATTGAAGTTGAATTGAGTTTCAATGAATTGGGGGTAATTTTGGTATATACAAAAGAGTTTTCCTTATTTGCAAATAAGTTTGAATGAACTGAAAATATTTAAAAGACAAAAACGTTGGATGTCCATTTTTAATTAAGTGCCATTGTCAGGGTGGACCTATTTGCCATTTGCCCTTTGTTTTATTGTTATTATTATATATATATATATACTAGTCTCGAAGCACCGCACAAGGTGCGGTGTCGGTGCCCAGTTAATTTCTTCATAAGGTATAAATTTTGATTTCTTTCGAACTCTTGAATATTTGCTTGAGGGAGCAATACCTCAATCTTTTCTTCGTAGCATCAATTTATGTTAGATTATTGTTATATGGTATGGAATGCAATATTAAAACCGGCAAAGTATGGCTAAATTTGTTCCATATCTTATAGAGGAAGGACAACTGTCATGTCAAGAATTCATGAATTGAGAAAAATAACGAGGTAAAACAGCTTCACAAGGCGGAAATGAAAATTTCCACATACGGCGAAAACAAATGTACAAGGGCATCAAAATCCATACAATAACACCTTAAAATTTTAAAAACCTCCCGACGTACGCTTGGCAGCACCGATGATGCACTCTTGACGTGGCCAATTGAGCATGCACCCATGCCAACCCTGTTTCACAATTTAAGCAAATAAACGCAAGACACGAGAAAGCAGACAAATAAATGTGACATGTACGCTCAAATAAGCGGGCAAACGATTCAACGAAATACATGCGAACACCTAAATAACTAACAATTGAAAGGTAAATTACAAAATAGCTAAAAACTGAAAGTGAGAACCAAAACATATGCTCCCCAACGCACCTATCAAGATTATTTATTTCAATTTCAGTAGCAATTCAAACAGTAGAAAACATAAAATAAATTCGTTGAAGCAATTTAATAAAGGATATTTCATTTCATTTACCCAGAATTGAGGGAAGGGAAACTTTATTTTCCTCCTTTCTTGCTGAACTCCCATAATGGATGTATCAAGCTCCATCAGATGATTACACTCTCGTGCACAAATAACAGAGATTTCACTATTTATATAGAATGTCGATGAATCAATCTCCTGCAAAATGCCTACTTTATTCTCATGCACTTGTACAGTAAGTACCTCACCAAACTTCTGAAACATGTGCTTCTTCAAGTACATTCTCTCAACTTTTTCTCTACCTTTTAATCCTATTTATTGCCTTGCTTTTGAATTCTCGAGCAAGAATTGAAGATTGTTCGCAAGAATTCGGACCCCCCGGCCTACCTAAAGGATGAAGATCGGTTATATTGTGTAATTGTGTTCAACAATCTCTCTTGTTCCTCCAGAATCAGTTCCGAGCACCTGTATCACCAAAAACACTCGCCCCTTCATAGACAGCTCATGGAAGATCCAGTCATGGCGAGTGGAGCTCCAGTCATAGACAGCTCATGGAAGATCAAAACAAACTTTCTTGACCAAACTAAACGAGCAAAAGCTCCCTTCCTATATCACAAGTACCCGACACTCCACTCCAAAATTGAGTCCTCTACAGATCCAAACGGGCCCACAAGAAATACGTAAGTCGTATTTTTCTTCGGTATTATTTCCTCTGTTTGCAAATCAACTTCACTTTCCACTTCGTCTGCAATCATCGTCTTTGGCTTACTACTGACTGGTCTCTTCCTACGTAGAGATCTCCTACTCCTCATCGAGGGCTTGTTTTTATCCAATGTAGTGTTCTTCGCAAGAACCACATCCACAATACTTTTACTCAACTGCCACAGAATCGACTTTAGCAATTAAGTCCCTCCTCCGATTCTTGATCTGCGGTTCGGATTTATCACCGCCCGATTCGCCGCTATAGCCACCGCTGAAGAGATCTTCCTTGTTGTCACCGTGTGCCCATTTCGACTGGAAATAGAATCCGGTGTAAGCCCAAACCAAAGGACAATGCGGTTACTTCTAAGACAGTGAGAGCTAAACACACCGCTACGTGCTTCTCTTCTAGGAGTTTGGCCCGAGTTTAATCTCCTGGAAGAAGGGGAACCCCTCGGACTTAATTTCCCCGACGATGATGACTTCAAGCCGCCGCCACCACCACCACCACCGCTGCCTCCCCCAGGCCTCAGTGGTGATAGCCTAACTAAAGTTTCTTCATCCATCTCAAAAAATTATCAATTACCAAGGCTTATATAATATTTCAACAAAATGAACCTATATACACAATCACCAAAGAAACCACCCCCAAAAGAATTCTTCAACTCAAAATCCAAGAAACACCGCTAGAGTTGGTTATTTCCTGCACCAGAAAATCAAAGATTTCTTTCAAAAAAATAAAAATTGAAAACATTTGCTACCTAAACGGCGCCGTTCTTTTATTTTCCTCCAATCCCATGGCAGCATTCTTTTCTTTTTGTTTAATTTCGGAAGCAGCTCGATTCCGAAAATCGTCGGTGTGGCCCCGTTTTCTCAATTTATTTTCGCTTTTCTTTCTTTTTTCATTCTCCAATCGGGAGGCAGCAGACTTGGGGAGAACATCTTCTCTCACCTCTATCGCCGGCGCCGCTTCTCTCAAAAGTTCCTGCACTACCGCCATGCGATAGCCGACCACGAGAGGCAATCGAGAGGGGTCACCGCTTCCGGCGTCGACGAGCATAAACACCGCCGCCTCTGCCGCCTACACGGACGACAACCTTTATGTAGTATGTGCATTCCCCCATTTTTCTGCCCCCACTTCAGTTTCCTTTTTTAAATTGAACATTTGATTGACCGTCGGAGCGGGGGAGTCCCCGGTCACAGGGGATCACAAACCGGTTCCGCGTAGGTGGAAGAAGAGGCGGCGTTGATTTCCGGCGACGTTGGAATGACCGAGCCTCTCTTGCGGCGCGTTGGCGGCGGCTGTGCAGGAGCCTATGACGGCGGCAGAATAGTCAGAGAGAGATGTGAGGGGAGATGTCGTCCGAATGGGGGAGAAGAAATAGTTATTGATGATGGGGAGGGCAGGTCAATAATTGTAGGCGGAGAAGAATTAGAGAAGATAAAAGAAAATCCAAAAAAAAATTAGCAGGTCGATCGTGCATTTGCTGAAAGAAAAAGAAAAAGAAAAGAAAGGGGAGATATGATTTGTGGGAATTGATGGAACGACGTCGTTCCAGATTAAAAGTGGCAAAATAAAAAGCGGAAAAAAATAGGGGGGCCAAGAAAGGGGGTTATCAACATATATATATACTTAATATATATATATAAGTAAGAGCAACTCCAATAGTAAACATCAAAATTGGATTATCAAGTACTCATTTGATAATTAAGATAATATTTTAATATCCATCTACATTTTGTCTACTCGAACCATAATTATCAAAATTAATAATCAATTGGAAGTTTTTTAGTGGTTTTATTTGTAATTACCACGTGTTATTTTTTGATTGGATGTTTATGTAGTTATTTTTTGATAATTCAATTTTTCAGGATGTATTTTTTCATACAAAGAGGTAGAATATCAAAATATTTGTCCATTTTGATACTCCCGTTGGAGTAGAAAATTTTAATTTTAGGATATCAAAAAGGTAGTTTATGGGTTTGATAATCCATTTGATACTCCTTTGGAGTTGTTGCTCTAATTCCCCACAAACTATAATCAAACATTGTTCTTTTTTTGAAACTGACGCAGAACAGAAGCACAAAAGGAATTAATTTCTACGAATTAATTCTATAGAACACGATAACTCTGGAATCCACCAGATAATTGAGAGAAAACTCAGAAATCTTATTAATAATTAAAGATGCTGAAAAATAAACTCTAGAGCAACTATTTATACTAAAGAAAACGAAAAACCCGAATCAAACTAGGAAAACGAGACAATTGTCAAAAAAGGCAAAAAAACAAAATAACTTCTAAACCTAGTAGAATACCGAAAATTTGAAACATGTCAACTTGCGGATTTCTAATCCGAATTTTCTAGCATTAATTAGGAATTATTTTGAAGGCCCAAACGATCTCGAAACACCAAAATCCAGCGCACGTTAAATCAATGTTAAATTACGAAAAACTCATTCATGTTTGGGTAATTACAACCACCCTACTTATGTATTGTCTTGCACGTCTAATCTTACGGTGTCAAATTTACTTCCTGAAAAATGGTTTTTTTTGGTAGAGACTACATATGTGAAGGGTGTAGTTATAATTGTTTAAATATAAGGGACTTTTTCGTAATTTGACCTTACCTCAAGGGTTGACCGTAATTTGCCCTTATTAGAAACAAGTGCAGTTCCCCCTTTAAAACGAGGTAGCTTTTAAGTACAAAACTAAACCTAAATTCCCAAATCAAATAGCCCTAATTCATCACAAGATTCATATCTCAAACTAAATGCAAACATTTAGAAAATAAAATGTAATGAATTCCCAAAGTTACGAATGGGTCTTCATCTCTATCAATCGGACTCTGAGGTACGAATTTCTACTCTCTCTCTCTCTCTCTCTCTCTCTCTCTCTACCATTCAAGTCAAAGCGAATTAAAAATTCAATTATTTGTTGATTTCTTTTTCCCAGTTTCATGTACGTTATACATATGAAAAATGAAATGTTTATTGTAATGTAGAAATAGTAGATACTACTAACGGGTTTTGAGTTGTGATTTTTACGAGTCGTTACAGAAAATATAATTTATCTTTTTCCTTTATTCAGAAAATCTATGCTGAACTAAATTTCCGATTGAATGATGATATAAAAGTCCGTGCTTTGTTTGAACGAGCACTAAGTTCTATTTATTCACTCTGTTTTTGCTTTAGTTGCTATCGTTCTGCAGTTTGTTTACATATATCGAATTTTCGATTTAGATACTTAGGGGCCGTTGATCGATATGAACGAGTGTGAAACAGAAACATGATTAATTTTATAAAAAAATTGTACGTTAATACTTTTATTTGCATGTAGCTTTATTTTGATATATTTTGCAAACAAACTTATGTATTTTATCCAGGCTACATGTTTTCAGAAATATATACTATCCGAAAAGAGGTGAGAAGTAGAATCTTACGTAACATAATTTTGAGCACGCTGTGGCTAAACTTCGCTTTTAATTTCTCCCCTTTTCTTTTTATAATTATATATTGTTTCTAACCCGCTCTCTGTATAATATATTAGAATATAAAACGTATATGATCACTTTGGAATATTTGATTTACATGCAGCACATATATTCTGCACGATCGAAAAATTGTTTTTTCATTTGTCAGAGTCATAATCAATTTCACTTTTTAGATCTAAATAAATCTCAATTTAATCTTTATTTACGGATCGTTGAACTTGTCAAATGAGATGAATACTGTTTTTATTACAACAGTTATGATCCGATTCTCCTCCCATCGCAAATTGCTGTTTGTCTCGAAGAATAAGGCGGATACATAGAAGTATGAGTTATAATATACGATGGTACGTATCTGAATTTATCTTGTACATTTTCATAAGATTGTCTTCAAGTAGTGTCTAAAATTTAACTTTTTTATGTATGCAACATTTTAAATTAAAAGAATGCGTTTATTCATCGTCACTTTCTAGATGCCAAATAGAAAATCGTCTCTTTATTTTTTTGGAAATCAGTACAATTCTTGTTGTACCTCGTTTTATTATTTACTAGCATTTTTCCCCGTGCGATGCACGGTATCGAATTTTAAAATTGAAAAAAAATAATCAATTTAACAAATTGAATTTCTATCTTTATTTTTTATGATTTGGGATATATTGATGAAAAACAGGAGGTTGAAGTATTTTTCACGATTCATCAGTTTGATAATTGTTGAAAATATAGTTAAAATTAGTAAAAAAAAAAAAAATTAAAAATAACTAATTACAGAAATGTAATTAGGGTTTTTTAGGGTTGCCCAGCGTTTCTTTCTTTTATATATAAGATAACTGTTAGCTGCCATAAGTAAAAATAACTAGTGCTGCTCGACTCATTTGACGAAATGAATGTTAACGACTGGTTTTCATTATGATCTATATACATATTCGTCCACAATAAACACGTATACCAAAACAAATATTAGATGCATGCTCTAAAGAATTCTTATTATAATTATTATATATAATAATGATTTTTTGTAATTGATTAATTGCTCCCTATTGTAGAATGCATTGGTCACCAATAAATGCTGATAATAAATGCTGATTTTTGGATTTTAGCTATAAGATTTTTGATATATGGTGCCCAATTTTATGAATTTTCAAGCAATCGGATTTGTATGTTTCCAGTCAAGCAAAAGAAGGTCAAAAAAGGAAAATGAAAAATAGTAATGAAGGAAAAATAATATGTAAAAAGAAGAATAAATAAATGGTAGAATATCTGGATTTGTGAAGAATTTTATTACAACTTATACGAGAAGTACTCGTAACGATGTTGCATGGGGTCTTGAAATAGAAGATGACAAATATGTACATAAACACGCGCGTAATTGTTTAGTATTTAGGGTTTAGGGTTTTTGATTCGTAAAATATATGTATGTACGTGTACAACTATATACGTACCGTACGATATGTATATGCGTATACATGCCTAATTTAGCCATCCCAAACTCCGTTTCCACATTATTCTCGAACAAGTTTGTCGAAATTAAAATGAAGCTTCAATTAGAGTTCGTCTGCTTTTCATCATGTAAAATATTTTAATTTTATATTATTTGCCAACTTTTATGTATTTGTTATTTTGTTTATAATTCAAATAATGTTTTAAATGCTGTAGCTAGTCATGGAAATAATTCAAAAACACACACGAAATTATTTACCAAATTCATCTTTTCAGATTTCGTAATAACTATCTCTTGACTTTCCTCCCATTTCAGTCTAGATTTTGCAAAACCATTCCTCGATTCTATTCTCGTATTTGCTAAATCTATAATTAATTTCTTATTATGTTGTCAACCAAGACAAGAACTTCATCTATTTAACCTCGTTTTCATTTCGATTATTTCTCACTCTCTCAACATCTTCAAGCCCTTCATTGCATCTACGATTTTTTTTTTCGTTTTTTTCGAAATATTTTGTATAAAATTTAAAATGTCACATGTACGTGGGAGTAAAAAAAATCCATCAGTGGACGAGCGCCCCGTAATTTTGGCACTTGAATATCCAAAATTCAATGCATCGAGCTCCGTTCGTCGACCTTCTATACCTCGACCGAGGATTCCTAAACACCCCATTACTTCGT